TGACGTGTTTACTGACGTACTGATGTTTTTACCTACTGAGGTGTGTTTAAAACTCGACCTAAACGTTTTAAGGCATACTTACACATTCTGGAACACCTGAGGCCACTTTGCGATTGAGTCTGTCAAAAATGTGGTATTTTAAGAGAGTTCACATAGTTTGATTAACTTTTCTTTACTGACGGACTGACTTGTGAGGAATAACAGTTCTTTGACGCGTCTGACGTGTTTTCATCTCTTTGACGCGTCTGACGTGTGTACTGACGTATTGACGTGTGACGAAGACCAGTTCTGAGACTTGTTTACTGACGTACGGATGTTTTTACCTACTGAGTTGTTTTCAAAACTCGACCTACACGTTTTAAGGCATGCTTACACTTTCTGGAATACCTGAGGCCACTTTGCGATTGAGTTTGTCAAAAATGTGGTATTTTAAGAGAGTTCACATAGTTTGATTAACTTTTCTTTACTGACGGACTGACTTGTAATGAATAACAGTTCTTTGACGCGTCTGACGTGTTTTCATTTCTTTGACGCGTCTGACGTGTGTACTGACGTATTGACGTGTGACGAAGACCAGTTCTTTGACGTGTTTACTGACGGATTGAAGTTTTCACGTAATGAGGTGTGTTTAAAACTCGACCTAAGCGTTTTAAGGCATGTTTACACTTTCTGAAACACCTGAGACCACTTTGCGATTGAGTGTGTCTAAAGTGTGGTATTTTAAGAGGGTTCACATAGTTTGATTAACTTTTCTTTACTGACGGACTGACTTGTAATGAATAACAGTTCTTTGACGCGTCTGACGTGTTTTCATTTCTTTGACGCGTCTGACGTGTGTACTGACGTATTGACGTGTGACGTTGACCAGTTCTTTGACGTGTTTACTGACGGATTGAAGTTTTCACGTAATGAGGTGTGTTTAAAACTCGACCTAAGCGTTTTAAGGCATGTTTACACTTTCCGGAACACCTGAGACCACTTTGCGATTGAGTGTGTCTAAAGTGTAGTATTTTAAGAGGGTTCATATAGTTTGATTAACTTTCCTTTACTGACGGACTGACTTATGAGGAATAAGAGTTCTTTGACGCGTCTGACGTGTTTTCATCTCTTTGACGCGTCTGACGTGTGTACTGACGTATTGACGTGTGACGAAGACCATTTCTTTGAGGTGTTTACTGACGGATTTGAGTTTTAACCTACTGGAGTGTGTTTAAAACTCGACCTAAACGTTTTAAGGCATACTTACACATTCTGGAACACCCGAGGCCACTTTGCGATTGAGTCTGTCAAAAATGTGGTATTTTAAGATAGTTCATATAGTTTGATTAACTTTTCTTTACTGACCTGAGAGGGATAACAGTTCTTTGAAGCGTTTGGCTTGTTTTTATTTCGTTGACGCGTCTGACGTGTTTTTATTTCGTTGACGCGTCTGACGTGTGTACTGGCGTATTGACGTGTGACGAAGACCAGTTCATTGACGTGTTTACTGACGGATTGAAGTTTTCACGTTATGAGGTGTGTTTAAAACTCGACCTAAGCGTTTTAAGGCATGTTTACACTTTCTGAAATACCTGAGACCACTTTGCGATTGAGTCTGTCAAAAATGTGGTATTTTAAGAGAGTTCACATAGTTTGATTATCTTTTCTTTACTGACGGACTGACTTGTGAGGAATAAAAGTTCTCTGACGTGTTTTCATCTCTTTGACGCGTCTGACGTGTGTACTGACGTATTGACGTGTGACGAAGGCCAGTTCTGGAGTGCTTACTGACGTACTGATGTTTTTACCCACTGAGGTGTGTTTAAAACTCGACCTAAACGTTTTAAGGAATACTTACATTTTCTGGAACACCTGAGACCACTTTGCGATTGAGTCTGTCAAAAATGTGGTATTTTAAGAGAGTTCACATAGTTTGATTAACTTTTCTTTACTGACGGACTGACTTGAGAGGGATAACAGTTCTTTGACGCGTCTGGCGTGTTTTCATTTCTTTGACACGTCTGACGTGTGTACTGACGTATTGACGTGTGACGAAGGCCAGTTCTGGAGTGCTTACTGACGTACTGATGTTTTTACCTACTGAGGTGTGTTTAAAACTCGACCTAAACGTTTTAAGGCATACTTATACTTTCTGGAACACCTGAGGTCACTTTGCGATTGAGCCTGTCAAAAATGTGATATTTTAAGAGAGTTCACATAGTTTGATTAACTTTTCTTTACTGACGGACTGACTTAAGAGGGATAACAGTTCTTTGACGCGTCTGACGTGTGTACTGACGTATTGACGTGTGGCGTAAACCAGTTCTTTGACTTTACTGACGTACTGATGTTTTTACCTACTGAGATGTGTTCAAAACTCGACCTAAACGTTTTAAGGCATGGTTACACTTTCCGGAACACTTGAGGCCACTTTGCGATTGAGTCTGCCAACAATTAAGGCAGTTGTTTTGAGAGAGTTCACATAGTTATTTTATTTTTCATGTACCAACGGATTGATTTGTGAGGAATAACAGTTCTTTGACGCGTTTTCATATCTTAGGCATGCATTCACTTTCTGGAACACCTTATCCCAGTTTGCGATTGAGTCTGTCAACCAGGCAGTTGTTTTAAACCCCACTATAAATCATTGAGAAAATATTCTTTTTCTCTTTATAAATAAGTAATAATTCTTAAATTTGTACGCGGCACTAATTGAATTGAAATGACTGTTAAGAATGGCGATTTGTTTTGCAAATTTCTTAAAATTTCGTTTTTTGATGTAGTAGTTTTTATAAACATAAGTTATAAGTTTGTAAGGTAGCATCGACGTATTGACGTGTCTGGCGTGTTTACTGACGTGTTTGACGTATATACTGACGGGTCTGACGTGTTTACTGACGTACTGACGTGTGACGGAGACCTTACTCGATGGCAGCCTTAGTTCACACTTCCATTTCACAAGTTCTTTATCCATTTTACGGAATTAAACGATCTTGCTGAAGGCATCTAGTCACAACTTAATCGCAAAAATTAAACGAGCTTTCCCATGGAGATACCGATACGAAATACGAATCCGCGCTTACTTTTTTTACCTTCAATTTCATAATAAAATATTTCCCATATTAAATTTTATCAAAGATACAACATTATTAATATGAATGAATGCATGGCCTTGAATGAGAGCGCAGGTTAATGATAAAATAACAATAATTAATAATAATTAAATAAAAGAAATTCAACCTGATCTGTATGTAATGCAAACTATTTTGTCTTCTAATTATATGTATGAAGGTAATCTTCCATGAATATAAGATCTGTAGACAATCTTTTATAAGGTATCTAAAGAAATTTCTATAAGGTGTGAAAGTAATCATCTATAACGATGACGTCATTATAACGTGACGTATGATGTCAACAAAGCTGCCATAATTGCTTGGGAGAAAGTCTTGGTAAATTAGGTCAAAGCTGTCATTTTATTCCCTATGAAGCATAGAGAATATCCAGGAAAAATGAAACATAAGGGTTGTTAAGTTGCTACAAAACATCCCTTTCTGTGTTTCAAACAATTGTCGTAATTTATTAAGAGAATTCCAGAATATTCACTCCGAAACTACCCTGATTGACTGCGATCTAGTTGTCATCAAACATGGCGGCCCCAATGATCCGCCATCTTTTTTCTCACTTTTTTTTGACTACCCGTGGGGCATAATTTTTCTGAAACGAATTGATGTATATGTATGTGTTACCATTATAGAGAGCTGCGCTCTCATATAACCTGTAAAACAAAACAAAAAGTCATTAGCACTACAGCAGGAAATATTTTTAATTGCAATTGAATTGTGAAACAGTTGAGTAACAAAAGCACCTGTTAACAAATCTTGAACTTTGAGTACGGTACCTAGTTTGGACCATTTTTGATTTCAAGCTCGATAATTTTGATCACAAAAATCAACGTACGTCTCGCAAAACATCAATTATGATAATTGATTCCCCATCATGATAAATCTCTCAATTATTCAATCAATAAAAACAACATAAGTTTAGATGTTTATTAAGTTTAAAGATTAATTAAAAATTAAAAATTTTGTCAAAATGCTTTCTTTCAACTTCTAATAAAATTGATGCTTAACTGATCAAATCAATTCAGACCCGGTTACCCGTGAAATCCTACGCAAAATTGATAAACTGATAACCGTGTCAACACTAAGAACTATTATTATAAAGCACCTGGAAAGTGAAAGAATGCGAGAAATTGTTTGAATTTACTCTCAAACATTAACAACTATGGTGTGATTTTTAACATGTAGCAAATAAACACCTTAAACAATTTTTTTTTTCTGTTTAGCTCTAGCCAATTTATTGCTGCAAGTTTAGCACAATGAAATTTACAGTAGTTGTTTTAATTCTTCTGGTATCACCTGTTTTTACTGAAGAAAAGAATGATGATGATGATATTGATCCTTTTGATATGCTAAATTTTGATCATGCGTCAATGTCTATGGAAAACAAAAAAGTGAGATGATTAAATTTCTTTTCTCCCATAGTTTGAAGCAAAACTTTCAGGTTTAAAGTATCCTAGGCCTAGATATCTCTGCAATCATACGGCCCAAATATTTCTTGTAAGGTTATTCAACCAAGAAAAAGTTTGACTTTATTATCAAAATGATTATTAGAAATATCACTCGGCTTAGTCTTTGAAAAAAAAAACTGTATTGTACTTCCTTATTCCTCACAATTTTTTTTTTCACATTTACCATTATTGTATAAATATTTAAAAGAAGATATTTCCTTTTAATTTTCAAGGTGAAAAAGGATAATCTTTTAGATAAGAAAAAGGTGAAAGAGTCGGCCATTAACAAAAAAGAGAAAAGAGAGAAAGAAATTCCTTTACCAGAGAAAACAGAAATTAAGATTGAAATACCAATGGAATCTTTATCTAAAGAAAAACCATCTTCGGAAAATCAACCTGTGTTTGATCTCAGAAAATGTCCTATTAAGAAATCACCAGCTTCGCCACTATTTCGTCAGTTTGTTAAAACCTTTTTAAATCACATATCAAAAAAGGTAAATTATTTCAAGCAATATAAGCTATAACCTCAAAAGCTACTTTTAATACGACAGCATGAAATGGGGAGCGTATATTGGCATCGCCCATTTTTGTCGGTCCGTTCATTGGTCAGTCTGTCTACACTTGCTCGTAAACACTTGATTTAAAAGTTTAAACTTACTGTGAAATTTTAGATTTAAATGGGTTTTTTTTTTTTAAGTAACAGTATAAATTATTTTTTATGGTTCTTATTCAGTTAATTATTTGCTTTCAAACATATTTTTTATATGACATTTCAATGCTTTTGATGTGAGATTATATTCTTTATTTATAGAAATATTGAAACCTTTATATATATTTTAGGTACTTTACAGTGGTGAATATGATATGAGGTTACAGTTAACTGTTGAAGATATTGAAATATTGAAGAGATATGGTGAAAGTGAAACTGAAGTTGATATCTACACAGCTCACACTATTCTGACTGGCATGATGTATAACTTTCGAGAAGTTTCAACGGGGGACAAATCAGGCCATCGATTGTGGATTGAAGAACAACTTGGATTTTCTCTAGAAAAACTTGTCCAAGTGGGTAGCTGTCAGTTGCATACTGACAAAAACATAGATTTTTTATTTGGTCACAATCTTGTAGCATGTCATGAACATTGATTTTCCATGAATATGGTAAAAAGAAATATTAGTATGACAGAAAAATCATACAGCATCTTGCTTTTTTTAAGTGTAATATTTTGGTAAATTAATACTAACTTTCAACGTTCTATTTTCAGATCATGATAGTGGTTGTTTTAATGGCTGGAATTTGTGCTTTATTTATCTACCTTAAGTTTAGTGTCAAACAACTCTTTATAATTGTCTTTGTCTTTCTATTCTTCACAAGTTGGCTACTTACATGGTACACATTGTGTAAGGTAATTATTTATTCTACTTCATAGCTAAAATAATATCTTCAAATTAATTCAGATGAAATTGCAGTCAAATCAGGAACTGCAGTGTGCTTAGACTGTCACTTGTTTACCCCAATATCAACATCAGGTGGAGGTCTTTATTTTGCCAGTCACCTTCATAAAAATCACATGTAGATTCCTCAACGAGATTATCGAAAACGACCGACGAAAGATTTTCGAATGCCTGCAACCGGTTGGTGAAACTCTTGACAAATATCATCAGATATGTGTATTTTTTTCATCTTTTCTATGATATCTTGTAAGAATAATAGTTTTTTTTTCAACCTATTTCATCAGATATGTGTATTTTTTTCATCTTTTCTATGATATCTTGTAAGAATAATAGTTTTTTTTCAACCTATATCATCAGATATAGGGTACCATGTAATTTTCCAGACACACGAATGGTCTTGGTCGGCCATTTTTGTCAAGAGTTTCACCAACCGGTTGCAGGCACTCGAAAATCTTTAGTCGGTCGTTTTCGATAATCTCGTGCAGACCATGCAGTTGAAAGGAAAATGAATCTGATTGGATGATGACGCCCTGTCTTTCAGAAGATTTTACTCAAAATTCTGCGCCCAAAACTGTTCGTGTACCAGCAACCTGAGATGAACAATGTAAATCTTGATACTAGATACCATGTTGCTATGCTCCATATCAATATATTACTGTAAATACATATGAAAAATGAACAAGAAGGGTGGCTTATACCCTTCGTATAATTTAAATGTATTTTTTGTTGTATAGAAAGAGATGTCAAAACAACATTATATCATCAGTAAAGAAATGCCTGAATATTGTAAAAGTCGTGAAAATCAAGATGCTGGTTTTCTTTCTGTTACATTTTCCTGGTTTGCCTCACCTTTTCGATATGAAAAAGATGAATGTTTGGAATATTTTGAACATTTGGTCATTAATCCATACATTAAAGTGTCACCAGTTGAAGTAAGGTTCATTTTGTCATGTAAATATTTTGATGCCCACATTTATATTATTGGACCAATGTTGGTGTGTAATATTTTATTAAATCAGTTTATTAAACAAAATTGATTAAAACATAGTTCATCAACAATATCTTTATTTCTGAATTTTTTAGGCTCTGGCTGTGACACTGACAAGATTTACTGTAGCACCATTATCCCATATTGCTGAGGAGTTAAGTAAAGCCTTACGGATGTTTTTAAAGGATTTGCCAGTGCATATTGCACCTATAGCTATGATTGGTTTATCTGTATTTGGATTTCTGTTTCTATTCATGTGTTTTGGTTATAGAGTATCTTCATTCCTGTTTACTATTGGACCTGGGGAACAGAACATAGATGGACAGGTTTGATTTTCTTTTTCTTGAAAATTTTATTTACAAGTGATTCAATTATGTCCTTTTGCATTCTTATATCGTATCTTAGAAAATTTAACAAAAAATCGCTATTGTAATCCCAAAATAAAAAGTAAATGTGGACATTTGGAATAAGTGAAATGTGGATATAAATGATGTTACTTTAGTATATGCAAGCTTACATTTCCAAAAACTTTTTACTTTGGGCAATCATATGATTATTGATTTGCTTAACTTAGTGGTTTGCTAATTTTGACTGTAATTTTGTCTTCAGCTTCAGGCATTGAAGGAAGAAATTGAGAAAGGAAGAGAGGAAACCAAAGCATTGATTTTAAATCAGCAGAAAATACCCAAAGACTTGCAAAAGTATTTAAATAAGACATCACAAGATCCTGTAATCGGTCATGTTCCTGAACAATTAACATTGCCAAACCATGGAGATGCCTCTTCTAACACCTGTTCTGGAGCAAAATCTACATTTTCAAAGTTAGAGGTTATACCCAGTATAGACTGTAATTCAGAGACTGGTGTTGCCAATTCTATAACTGAGAAGGATCCAAGTAAAACAGACCCTCTTAATAAAAATAAAGTATCTGCTATGGCTTCCTCAAATGAAAATGGAGTAGTATCAAATGTGAATGAGAATAGAGTAGTTGCTGCTGGGAATGAGAGCAGAAAAGGGCCTGATAAGAATGAAAATGTAAAAGGGCCTAATATGAATGAAAAAGTATCTGTTAGGACTGAGACAGGAGTTATATCTTCTAGAAATGTGAATGGAGAAGGGTCTGCTAAGAATGAGAATATAGAAGAACCTGGTTTTATTGAGATTGGAGCCGTGTCTGATAAGAATGAGAGTGGAAAGCCTCGTCCTGTGCAGTGTACTGATAATCAAGTGAATGGGGGAATAGAAGAGATAAATCTGAAGAAATCTTGAGTATCTGTGTTAAAAAAAAACAAACAATGATTCTGAAAGATAATCTTGTTAATAATGGACAACTGAAAGCCACACTTCCACAGTCCCTCCATTCTTACAATATTGACATGGAATTATATTGTTGGCATGGAAAGATAATATGTATATAATATTATGTCTGTGATAAATTGATGATAAAGGGACATAGTCATTGAAATATACTGTTACCAGCTGATAAAGCTCAATTAAGCTATTGGCAGCAAATCTTGTCAAGTCATTGATCATAATTTACATTTTAACATGTACATTTTTATTTGAAAAAAGTGATGCTGAGTTTTATCAGTTGGTAAAGCAAATTTTTAGATGCTTTTTTCCTTTCAACTTCTTATATTGCAAATTGCAAAATAATAGTGCTCTAAGTGATATATTACATGTATGTGGTATCATATAACAAACTATTTTCATATAATTTATATTATTATCTTAAAGATATATTTATCACAATCATTTAAATGTAAATTATTGAAGTATAAAAGTTTGTCTACTTATCATAACTTTAAATGTTTTGTAAGTATTTAGTTTTCAACCTTAACTGTTCGGTTAAAAAATGAACTTAAGTGTGATTTGCCATACCAGGAATACTACATAAGGTACTTTGACAATTGTATATCATTAATGACTCTTAACTGCTAACTATTCACCTATAGGCTTTTGCTATTTCAGCTCAGACACCACCAACCACAATTTTACAGGGAAAGGTTTACCATTCTTGGGCGTTGATTTCAGTCTCGAATATATACAAATAGTTTGCAGAAGTACTGGAAATGGCGCTAGCACTTGTTATTTCCACATATTATGTCTTTTGTCTAACGCAAGGATTTGAATGTTCAAATTTGACAGTAAGCTGTGATTGGTCAAACAGATGGCAAACCTGTCCCTTTAAGGGGTGCCTTCGAGAAGCTGAAAGCATGCAGCGCTAGTTGCTTAAATTTTTAGCTCAAGGTATTATTTATTCCGACTTAAGCAAAAGGTATGAAAAAGATGGGTTCCCTTAATTTCATTTATGAAAATAATAATACTTATATGAATGGAATGTAGAGGTGTTCTAATGACTTGAAAAATACCAGTTTGTCTCACATGTCTATAATCAATTCATAATTAGCTAAATTAGAAGAGAATTAACAGCAGAATTCCAATGAGTGACCGATCAAGAAAGGTCAAAAGGTCTTTTTTGTTTATCCAGACTATACGGATATTAATGATTGGTTAACTCTTAACTATATGCAATAAGAACATAATGATAAAATTATGATTAAGAATACATGATAATTTATTAAAAAAACCAATTAATCAAATAGTTTGCTTAATTTGATACTGAAAAATAAGGAAACCTATCTTTAAGAAACAACTTTATTGTAAGCATTGTCATAGATATGTGAATCATTGGCAGATTGTTACAGTATGTAACACTTAGCATTATGTGGATTGTCTATTATCAATAGAAATGAAATAAAATGAATGGAGTTTTACGTCCTACTTTTCTGCACCATGTGGGCTAGTGAAGACGGGCAACGCCATGCAGGGTGCAATGAGGGAAATTTTGCCAGGACAGCAGCATAAGCCTGCTCTTTTTCGATTTCCAACTGTCGAGGTATCTTTAACGAGCACACGCGGCCTCGGTTTATTTCCCATCCGAACGACTAGACGCTTTTTATTATAATAGAAGATAAAAGGATTGACAATTTTATATAGCAGATTGACATCCAACCATACAATTGAAATAATCTGTATTCTCTGTAAAAACACTGTAATCAGGATGTTGTTGGCGTGGATAATCTGTTATACTTTCAGGATTCTTCGAGTGAAAACCTAATGAGATAGTCCTTTGCAGCATGCTCTACTGGTCAGTATTCCTGAGAATGTAAAAGGGTAGTATGCAAGTTGAAATAAGTCATTAAAATCCTTTCGCCTTGACTGAATTTCAGCATAAAAGTTTTCAATATATGCAACGGCGCACAACCACAGAAAACGGATTTTTGCCGGTTAGATATTTGATAGAAGAATGCCCAGCTACTTCAATAGGGATACCCAAAACTAAAATATCCATACCAATTACGTATAAACATGTAGTGAAGAGAATCATAAAAGATAAGATCCTCGACTCTAACTCTTCCCTTTTCGTCGTACACATCTTTCTGTAATGCTCGGCTTTGTGGGTGTTACTTGTAGCTGCTTCACATGAACTGGATGAAGTGGGATAAAGACTGTCATTAGACGATTGTTTGACGGTGACTGTGTCGTGGTGCTGATCTGTGTCTGTAGGTGTGGTTAGGTTCACTATCACCGGTACTGGTACAGGAACAACACTGGTACTATATTGTTCTATATAATTATTACTCTTTGCTTCAATCAGGAAAACATCTCTGCTTTTTGACATTTTGTGGATGAAAAACAACAGAGGGTTTGAAATTAAAGCCAGGAGCAAGAGTTTGATGGTCACAATAAACATTGTCAGAAGATTCACAGTAACCCAATCGCAAGTTAGTAGGCTACAGAATGTTACTACTAAGTAACGTTCCAAACATAGACGTTATAGGGCAAATCTTGTGACGTATAAATACGGAAAAGCTGTGCGCAATCATAGCTGCTGCACAAGCTGGAATTTTTAGATCCAAAAGAATCTTATCCCACTTGTTGGAGATCTTCAACTTATGAAATGAAAATATTTACATTTAGTACATCATTTTATTCATTTATTCATTTTGCCGTCACCTCTTTCCGTCCGTCCGTCCACAATTGCTCGTAAACACTCTACAAGGCACAATTCCTGACTGACTTCGACGAAACTTGGTATGGTTGTAATCACCCAAGGATGAACCCTATTGAAAATCAGACGAATCGAAAATCGTAAACACTCTAGAAGGTGTAAATCATGACGGATTTTGATGAAACTTGGTATGAGTGTTCGTTATCGCCCAAGGATAAACCATATCGAAGATCAGAAAAATTGAAAAATATCTAGTATGAGTTATTGCCCTTGTTCTTGAAAACACTCAGGAGGGCACAATTCTTGACGCATTTTGACGAAACTTGGCGTGAGTGTTTGTAATCACCCAAGGATAAACCAAATCTTAAATCAGAAAATTGAAAAATATTTAGTATAAGTTATTGCCCTTGTTCTTAAATACGCGTTCAAGTTTTAGCCTGTAAACACTCTAGAAGGTCCAATTCCTGACAGATTTTGATAAAACTTGGTAATATTATTCAGTATCGCCTCAAAAAGCTCAAAAGAAGTCTAGCCTATGTTTGAAGGTTGAATATTTCATACTGGTAATTGTTAATGTACTACCAAATATTTTTATTTAAAATCAAAGCGTAGCCTATGTGGGCTTATATTACCTTGCCTGGCAAGCTATCTTGAAATTTACTTGGATTAGATTAGAACTTAGAAAGCCAAAACATACAAAATTGAACAGTTTTCTGAATCTCCGGTTGTGACGTGACCACCACCCTCCTTCTCCATCCCACTCTACCTTATTTCACGAAAATTCGGAAATTCAGTAGTTCTCTGTGCTATTCCATACTGCAATGTTGTTGAATTATAATGTATTCGGAGACAACATTCAACATGCATGACACTATATTAATATTAAAGTAGCCTCGACAGATATGATAAATAAAAAATATCACAAATTGGGTGTTTCTGAAGAAGGCAGTAAGCCGAAACGTCAAATAACAGGACAATAATATAGTTTTAATAAATAAAAAATCCACATTTTCAATGAAAAGAGGCCCAAAGTGTTACACATCATAATAACGTCAAATTGTCATCACTGATTGTTCTGAAATTCAACAGAAACAGCCGAATTTCCATTTTCTCTGACAGTTTTTACAGAATTATCAAATATTCCCAATTCGATAATTTTCCAACATTATTCTGTGAATAAAGGTGAGTTTTTAACATAGGCCCTATCTTTATTGTGTTCCTGTTATTTTAGCAATTTCGCCTACGCTTTTGGCAAATTGTAACACTTTGAAATTGAAGACTGGTGTCATATTTTCTTGATGTCTTGGAAATTAACTCATTTTCAAATTTACTAAATCTATTTCTAGATGAAGTATATTTTATAAAACATTTCACTGAAATCTTTGTTTCTGTGATTTTTTTTCAGTGACCATGATAACGGTAAACTACAGGATTCCAGCTGCATCAGATGTTCCTGAATTAGGAATTTTTAGAAAGAGTCCAGCAGAAATTATGAGAGATTTCGCAAAAGAAAATCTACAAGTGAAAGAGTTCCTTTATGGATCTCAAAGGTTACTGCATTCTGCTGACACAGCCAAGTCTGAAAATATTCCAAGCGCATCTCCAAGACTTGATGATGACCAACTGACAAAGAAACTACGTTCACAGAATCAATATTTAGATTTATCAAAGTATTTGATACCACAGGCAACTGGTTTGGGTTTCTCTAAATACCTCATCAACAGATCTGAAGTTCAAGATGATGCTATTCAAGTTTCGGTTGTTCATTCAATCACCACAGAAGAAAAGAGAAACATAAATGGTTACTATATTTTGAAATATTTACAACCAAGTTTCCATCTGATATGGCTGATGGAGAAGATCGTTCTTCAAGCCATTAGCTTTTCTTTCTTGAGTAGATGTCCATAATCTCTGAGCTCCTCTGAAGGTAACCTACAACTGTCGTGGTGTCGCTAGCAAAAGTGGAACGACGGGGCGGGGTTCCCCACAATATATCGAGAACAACTGATGTCATTCTGCGATTGGGTTTGTCATCTCAACAATCCAATAGGAGAATCAAAAATCAAAATATTTTTTTCAAGAATTTTGAATCTAACCTTGTACTTTGCAATGAGTAATTTATATCAGAAAATATTTTATCATTTTAGAAAAGAAACCATCAAAATTACAAAGATTGAGACGAAGACTGATAACTTTTGACCATTTATATTTGAGATGAAAAATGATATTGTTATACAATCTATAGCCTATTGTACATTCTTATTTTGGATAAAACTCTATTTTTAATTATCATTGTCATTTCTTAAACAACCTTACGAAGTTGGGGCCTGTAGATGACACTTTGTTGTCTTTGGAACTTGAGACACTGTTACACGAATTCCGTTTGTACAATGATACGCACTTCGGCGTTCCAATGATTAAAGTCTTCGTCTACGGAATGCGAAGGGTGTGGTGTACCATGTCCAAATGTTCAAAACTTTAGTAAACATCGGGATGTGTGTGCTACCCACACCCAAAAAGCTGCAATAACATGTGTATGTAAGTGTAACTCAAGCTCAAACTCAAACCGCAACGTTGCGCCTATAGGGGTGTTGGAGTTGTAAGCAGAAAATTGGATTTGCTAAGGATTTGGAAAGGATTTTCATCGGTCCAGTTTGTTTGTTATTGGGTTAGCTTTTGAGTTTGCGTGCATGTGTAATCGCAGCAATGCTAGTTCACGAAGACTTAAATCATTGGCCCGGTTTACTTTAAATCTTTATGATCGATTTCATTGTCTACGTGTATAGTTAAAGATTCCTCGATAGTTGGATATCAAAAGAAGAGTAGGTTAAGCTATTCAGACAAAATTTCCCTCATTGTACACTGCATGGCGTAACCCGTCTTCATCCTTCAAATTAAGTGCAGAGAAGTAGGACGTTGCCTTCCATATCATTTCTTAGGTTTCAATTTCCTTTCAATTTCGATTCCATTGTCTACCTGTAGAGCCAGGTAATTTTACCTTTAATCAATCAATAACACGGTCTGGTTTAAACAGTTATATTACATTGAAATACTGGATAACCTAGTACAGGGCCGTTGTAGATTGACGTCAAGTACCTTGGAGATTTTTACCGTTACACGCTAGGTGTTTTTATCCAGGTGAGATAAATACAACAGAAATGTCAGTAGCATTTGTGGCTGGATAATCAAGATTGTTAATGGAGTCCAGGAGAATATCGCAAAAAATATAAAACAATGTTTATAAATCAAGGTATGTATTAAAAACAATATTACTCTCTAGATTACATTGCGTCCCGGAGAAATCTTTATGCTATATTGGATAAGGGCACGGCTATTAAGGTATATCAACCTACTGGTAGACAGGCAAATGAGTGATAGACAATGGTCTACAGACAATACAGGTAGGATAATTAATCAAGGTGATTGAAAAATACTTATCGTGTTTTTCAAATTCATTTTTGGTGAAATATTAAGATAATATCAAGTGATTAATTTCTGATAATGTTTTTGTAGCATAATTTCATTCTATGAGAGCAAAGGTAGAATAAGTCACTACAGTCTTATCAGCAAGTGCCTGTTAGATACATTGTAAGACTACAGGAATTCACTTGTTGAATTCTGTTTTTTTTTTTAAATGTTATGTAGAGAAAATAGGCAGAAATATTTTACTCATTGATATCTGATATTATGATATAGAACATGTGATTTAATATGTCATTGTGACTATTATATAATTGCTAGAGATTAGGTTAATGAATGATTGTTTCATGTCCCAAATCTTCTATTAATTCAAGCATGCATGAATTTGTATGTTTTATGGGGAACATCTAGATAAGGTTCGGGAAAATTTAATTGTATTTCTGAAACACTTATATACCAACATTAGCAAAATTATATAATTTTTTTAAAATGACAATTTTTAAACTTAAATTCACCTTTTTTCAGAAACTTGTCTATGGAACATAATAATAAAAACAGTAAAGATAAATGGTGAAACACAACCAAAGTAAATAATGTTCAGCAAATAACATCATGAAATTTCATCATGTTTGTGGTGAAGCTGTGAGGATATCAGATGATTACAAATCAGCATCCAGATCTGATCATAGTTTTAGTCATGGAATAGTTTTCTGTGATGCACCAATAAAACTTAACCAACATGTTAGTTTGGAATTGAAGTGTACCTCATTATGGAGTGGTGCTCTACGTATTGGTGTTACATCGCAAAATCCGAACACCTTACACTCCAGTGACCTGCCTAAATATGCTTTCCCAGATTTGGCCCAGAAGGAAGGTTATTGGGTTCGACCAGTTAATGAAAATGAAACATTTACAGGAATGAAGATTATCATATATATTAATGCCATTGGTCAATTACATTTATTTATGAATAACCAACATCGTGGGGTGTATATATCTAATCTACCAACCAATCAGAATCTCTGGTTACTATTTGATTTGTATGGAACAACTAAAGCCATAACATTGGTTCCTTCAGGTAAAGTACCGGTATTATTTTACTTCAAAGGACAAAGTTGTCTTTATATTACATTTGATGCTCAATTTGAAATCTCTCTAGTACTTTAATTGCAAGTTAAGGCAATGCTTCAATGTATGGGTAAATTAATAAGTTCGGAGATAATATCTTGTCTATAGTCGATATATCTGTGACTTCTTACTGTTGATATTATTTAGAGACCAATGTTTTGATTGGGTTTGGTGAAACAGACTATTACACTTTTTCATTGAACTGTCTTTAAATACTTACACTGCCTGAAATTAAAATAGTGCAAAAATGGTTATAAAACTATATTATGAAATACTTCTTCAATATGATTGATATGCTTCCTCCTATCAGTTTTTTGGGGAGTTTTCTTTAGTTTCGTATGTATTTACTGATTTTATGTACTGGAACTTGTGATTCATATTCCTGTTAGTTCTAATAAGTGGATTCAAATTCAAATGTCATAAATTGATAAAGCCTCGAGCTGTGCGAACTCGTGATTAAATTCCACAGAAACATGAAATGTAAGTGACGTTATACAACTCTCTTAAGTAATCCGTTCACACTTAAAACAAATGTGAAAATTGACAGATCCTGTATGATAAAGGTTATCAAGAGTTTCAGATCATGCAATTGAAAGGAAAATGAATCTGATTGGATGATGTTTAGTCTCATCTTGTAGTGAGTATTGTCTACTGAAGAAAACAATTGTCTACGAGAAAAAAAACCTTTAACAAATCTTTAACTTTTTTGATGTTCAAAATCCTTTGGAAACACGTTAATCTTATCATGGAAGCACAGGCACATGGGAGATTTTACTCGAAAAACCATTCATGTCTCCGCAGCATAACAAAACAACTACATGTTTATGAAAGAAAAAGAATGATATTCATTGAGGCTGTATCTCTTTCAATTTTCACTCTATTGTTATAAAAATCCTATGGCTGTTCCTTTTGTGTTATATCATTTATGGCTCAGACAATAGTGATTTAGATTGTTGTTTGCTACAAATTTGGATATCAGATTTCTTATATTGAAGGTTGAATTTCTAATGTTTCAGTCAATGCATTTAACTCAGAAGTGGTTTCAACCACCAACCAATCCCAGTAAGGGATGTTGAATTGGGAGTTAACATAGGACCAGTATTCAAATAATCAAGTTCTCAAAGCATCCCTGATTTTTTTTGTAATATATCTCATTGTAATTATATAACCTTATCTAATGTAATAAAGAGGAAAAACAAATATGATGTATATGTTAGAGATAGTAATATTGATTTATGAAGAGATTATATTTTAAAACCCTGACATATAGACTTGTTGATTATCAGGTCGATATATTGTACAAGTAATTTGATACGTATTTGATTTAAATTAGGCTAATGAACATTACTGATGTTTGTCTATAGATCAATTAGTTAGGCTGTTTTTAACAATATGAATTACATTAGATTAGGAATATTAATTACATTGAATTAGGAATATTAATTGGAATACTAAGACTTATCAGGAATATTATTCCATTATGCAAGTTTTTGTTTCATTAGCTTCCAAAATATTCAAACTTATGACTATGACATATTGCAGACCTAAAAAAAAAAGAAATTTTATTTCTATTTTCCTGAGTATATTTTGCACAACTCAAAATTTATGTGTATTTCAAACATCAAACAGCTACAAGTCTTAACCAGTTATGTAAGTATATTGAATCTCTCTGCATCCAGAACATGGTTTGCTTTCTTGTTTAATACGTTCACTTAGAGTTGGTAAAATATAAAAACCTGGTCAAAGTTAGCTACAGTCATTATTTTCATCTGTTCTGGTTCCTAGTTCTATTGTCTGAGAAAGTTTGGTAATTTGCCCATTTCATTTAAGTGAATTTGAATATAAGATTTAAAAGAATACTGATAATCTGAGAATGACTTTGCGTTGATAGATAAATATATAAATTTATTAAATTAACATTGAAGTGAAATGCACTTTCCTCCCTGAATTATCAAAGGAACAATGTCTGAATTTTGATTGAAAATTGTCCACTGTAAAAACAATTTTCAAAGTGATAATGTGTGTTCATGTTTATATTTTTTATTAACACAAAGTAATTCTAAGATTACCAGTACTATTTTGAAGCTTTTAATCAAATTCACTTAGATTAAATGGACAAAGTACAATATACTAGCAATAAATCATTAAAACATAATTTACACTGTATGGTGAATGATGTTTCAGATTGCTTTTTCAACAGAATAAAATGTATTTACAGTTTTTACAGTTTGAAGTTTGTGGACTGTTGTCCTTGAATTTTTTCTTAAAGAACTACTATATGTACATATATATGTATAGCCTTGGGAGATATTGACTTCGTATATTATCAATAAGCAGTATTGATCTTTTCTTTTATAATTTAATTATTATCAATAAAATATCACTGTGAAAACCACATTTAGTTCCCGCTACTTCATGTTCATAATTCATATTCCAAGAACAGTACTGTAAACAATATAATCAATACCAGTTAGTACTTAAAATCAAAGCAAATTATGTTTTTTACTTCTTGGGCATATCATCAGAATACCCATTGTGAAAACAATATTTAAAATTCCTTTCTTGAATTATATGACATTTTCATTCTGCGATCAAAAGATTTATATGTGCTCCAAAACTATTTAAAACACTGAGAGAAATCACACTCTATGGCTAAGTTTAATCACACTCGATGACTAAGAGAAATCACACTCTGTGAATGAGAGAAATCACACTCTATGGCTAAGTTAAATCACAATCTATGGTTGAGAGAAATCCTAGGTTAGGAGAAATAACACTATGCTTAAGAGAAATCACACTTTATGGCTAAGAGAAATCACTAAGGGAAATCACACTCCATGGTTAAGAGAAATCACTAAGAGAAATCACCCTCTATAGCTAAGAGAAATCACTAAGGTAAATCATACTCTATGGCTAAGAGAAATCACTAAGAGAAATCACACTCTATAGCTAAGAGAAATCACACTCTATGGCTAAGAGAAAGCACACTCTATGGCTAAGAGAAATCACTAAGAGAAATTACACTCTATGGCTAAAAGAGATATCACTAAGAGAAATCACACACTATGGCTAAGAGAAATCACACTCTATGGTTAAGAGAAATCACTAAGAGAAATCACACGCTATGGCTAAGAAAAATCACTCTATGGCTAAGAGAAATCTCACTGTATGGTTAGGAGAAATCAAACTTTATGGCTAAGTATTCACTAAACTATATGATTTAGGATCAAGATATCTGATATATTGTGTTGTTTTGACTTTTCTACTCCCTGTTCTGAAGAATTATTATGTTTTTTTCTGACAGATATAGCCCCAAAAGAAATCCAGGCTCGAGGTCAGAATGCTATGCAAGCTTACCATACAGCATGTACATCTGGTACTCAGCCTGTCTATAGATCACGCTTGATGTTAGTTGGTAAAGATCGTGTGGGTAAAACAAGTCTAAAAAGAGCTCTTACAGGATTGAGGTAATTTCAAATCTTCAGATTATAACAGATTTTATAATAGTAATTTATTATCCTAAGTGGGTAAAAGATGATATCGGGATTGTGATGACCGTATCTGAACGGAAGATCAGACCGTGACAGACTGTGATATAACAAATCGCATACTAAATTCCACAATCAGCTTATGGCCATCATAGCATTCAAAACTGATCGCACGACAGAGGGAACATAGCCTCAGATATTTTTAGTATTTTAGCTGCAAGAAAGATATTAATAAAGATTTTATCATTTCAGTCATAATAAAGAAGAAAAGTCAACAAATGGTATTGACCTCTCATCATCCTGTTCCTTTAATTTAAATAATCGTTCATCATGGAAACTAGCATTAAAAGGAGATAATCTCAATGATACTGATTCTCAACAAACTTCAGAAAGTTTAGGTATGGTTTATTTTATTAAGTGCTATTGGAAACAAAACTCATTCTAGATTCTATTAGACTTAGATTTTTAACTATGACCTTGATTGGTCAGTGTGATTTATTATAATCTTCTCGAATTTTTACTGCATTGACTGCCAAATTGAAATATTTGAATAAGTACAAGAAGTACCTTTTGACTTTTTAAGCTCATGCAATATGTATCTGGTCTCTTATGATATTTGGACTCTCTGATATGATATTTTAGGAAGTAAGGCTTGGTTAGAAGAAGAATATAATCAAGCTTTAGCCAATAATATTGTACAAGAGATACTTTCTTCAAAGTATCAGACTGGTACTACAACTGTAAAATCAACCAAGAGTCCTGTTAGATCTCCAAAGCATAGAAATAGAAACAGCCCTACAGTAAGTTGAATTATTTAAATCTAAATTGTTTGCTTTAAAGCTAGGTTTCAGCAGTCTGTATCTTTTCATAGTAAAATCCCAAATCAGGTTCTCCTGTGAGTCAACTTACAGTGATTCAACTTTAGGCTGGTAATTACAGGTGGTCCTTATTAAATTGTTCACATGAAGATATCACTGATATCATAATGTAATAGATTATTACTTACTGTGAGAATGGTAATTACAGCCTTTCAGTGACTAGGGTCTCAACTTCCGCAGGGGTAGGATTATCTTGGATGAAGTAAAATTCTGCTACGGATCGTTTTTTTCAGCGGAGAAAATCAACTCAGTCATTACATCGTCAATCTCTTACGAAAACAGATTTCAAACAAGTGCCCCCTGATTTGATCAGCAATGTTCCTGATCATATTACTCAATTAGTCCAAAAATTACTGGACAATCATTCTACTGGTCTAATTTCATCACCCAGACATCCAACAACTAATAGATTGAATAATACTGTTGTTTTAAATATTTGGGATTTTGCTGGACAGGCTGTATATTATACAACACATCAGGTATATTATTAGATTCTATAAAATTAACATTTATGCTATTCAGAGTTCAGATAATATTGCTAAGAATACAACTAGTAGTCATTTTTACTGTTGAATTTGCAAAGATCTGTTTCTTTTAAATGGTTTTGTATGCTTACACCTAGATTTTAATGTATATCGTCATCACTCATGACCGTCTGGTCATTCATCATTAATTCTAGTACCGGTAGTTAATATATACTACAGTTTAAATCTGATTTTAATCAAATTTAGTTATTGCCCTTGACTTACATAAATTTGACAAAACCGCTAGCTATGTGTTGTATGGTAGCAAATGATCCTATATTTTAGGTGTTTTTAACATCAAGAGCTGTTTATGTTATAGTGTTTAATTTGTGTGATGATTTGACTGGAAAGGAAAAGGAATCTCAAGAGAAGGTTTGGCAATTTATCTCCTTTGTTTCTCAGATCAAAATTTCAAAAGTGTGATCAGAATAAAAGTTTTTAAATTTTTGTGAGAATCATCTCTTTTAGGTTTTTTCAATAAACTAAATAAGGCAGTTTTGCATTGATTATACATTAGTCTCAATTGTTTTTATTTAGGTTGAAGAAAGTGAAGATCTATCTACACTAGAGTATATGGATTTTTGGATGCGTTCTATACATGCCCATGCTGCTGAGAATACTGTAGACAGTGTTGATAATATGAAGTTATCTCCCCCTATATTTATAGTTGGTACACATCGTGATAGTCTAGATCCTGATTATGACACACAGAAATTACTGGTCAGTTTATCTTACTGTTGACTTTTGTCAATTAATTGCCAAATTTGATATTTCTGCCAATTCAATGGCCACACAAATAATTTTGCCATGTTGATATCTTTGGTTAGAGATATTTTAAAATAGTTTGATAGAGTGACAGAAGTAAAAGCAATTGAACTATAAAGTGCTGATAATTTTGGTGAACGAAAATGGTTTTGTCCTTTGACAAAATGTGTGGTTTATAATTTTTCAGATAGAAGAGAAGTTTAATACAATAAAAGAGTTCATAATTGGAAAACCTTACACACAGCATATTGTTACACCTTTCTTTGCTGTAGAAAATGATTTAAATTCTACAGAAGAAGATGATGACGTATGTACTGTATATCCTGATTATCTAAGTCTATGTGAGCTTTTGTTCAAATTGAATCAAGTTAAATTTCTTTGTTCAATAAAAGATTTGATTTCAATATTGAAATTCTGGGAGATCATTGTCAGTCTGCTTATCTGTTTGTATACGCCCACATGGAAATGTCCGTCCTTCCCCATTTCTCAATAGAGGCTACAGTTTTTATCCAATCTTAATGAAAATTTGGTATGCATGTATATATTGATTGGATCTTGGTCAAGTTTGATTATGGTAATTATCAGAAGAACGGTTTTGGACTTATTGCCTTTGACTTAGTAAAAACACGTCAAATTTGTAACCTTTAAGACTTTGTTATCATATCTGACAGCTGTTAGTGGGCGTATGTTATCTTGCCTGGCAAGCTATCTTCTTGATTTATTAGTATGATCTCAATAGTACATTGTTATTGCTATATATAGAACATTAGTATGTGATATTGTGTCTGATTATTCAGATTGATTATTTACGAAGTGAAATAGAGAAGATTGCCGGTAGAGAATATTATATGGGAGAACAAATGCCTATAAAATGGTTAAAATTTGAACAAGAAATAACAAGACTTGCTGATGAAGGGACATATTATGCTACATATGATCAGGTATTCGTTAGACTTCTGTTATTGAGAGATGCATATTGTATGGATATTAGGTTGGAAGATGTTAAAAGTCAACAATAGGCAGATTTCCAGAAGGACTTTCCATTTCAGGAGATTGTGAGAAATGCATGTAACAATCCTTGATCATTCACAGGTTAGGTCACAAAGAAATTTTAGTGCATATGCATAAAGATGAGGTTCAATAACATAAGGGATTTCATCACTAGATCTTACAGTCACTAGATCTATGAGTAAGAGGGATTTAATGTGTAAATTGTATATGTTATCTATTTATAATTTAGGTGTGTGAAATAGGTAATAATAATGGTATCACAGATGAATCAGAATTAAAAACAGTATTAGAATTCTACCACGATTTAGGTGTTATAGTATATTATGGTTCATCCAGCTTAGCTGATAATTTATTACGTAATACTGTTATTTTGAAACCACAATGGTTAATTGATATGTTTCGTAGGTTTATTCTAAATAAATCTTCTCATGACCAGGTAGGTCTATTTCTACAAAATAAACTTTGTTCTTGACAGCTCCAGACTCAGCATGGCAGAGATTTCAAGGTACAAATAGTTAAACAAACCTGAAAACAACTGTTCTTAGCTTGTTTCTTCTGTTTTGACCTTGAGAAAGAAAATGGATACCAAATAGTAGGAGATGTACCGTACACAAAAACTAAGATTATTGAACTTTGTTGAGTGTTTATAACTTAAAGCTCACAGTCTCAAGCATCTAGAACATGCATCCTCAGATTCATATTTTACTGTTTTGTCATTTATCAATTATTTATTTTTGAGGTTTCATAAGGATCTGCTCAATTACTTCAATGTTCGTTCAAAATAGTCCCCATTTTCCTCAGTGTGCTTATTTCCTTATGACATTTTTAGGCTCCACTTTTTTCTATATTGTTATATTTTTCATTTGTAAACTAGAATGTATAAAAAAAAATTCAAAATCAGCACCACAGCCTTGTTGACAGCTGTATTCAATTGTAGATGAAATTGATTTCATTGGTCATTAAGTCAAAATATTTTTTTTTTCTAGTGGAATCTTTTGGAAGATAAGTGGAAGAGATTGGAAAATGTATGTATTATTGAAGAACCATTAATAGATCAACTATGGCATGATGCCTTATCACAGAAATATATGTTACTAGGTCTTATGGAGAAATTTGATTTAATTTGTGTTAGAATTCCACCACAAGGACAGGTAATGATATTTATGCAAAAACAGAGACTATTCAAAACATAAGTAAAAGTAGCAAGCTAATTAGAGTTTAGCATATCCAGTGACCATTATTATCAGTAAGCTAACAATTACACAAAATTCAAGATATTTTATTTGCAATTCAATAATTCAACCATGGAAATTTTGAATGTCATCACTTTCAGGTCTTAATTAAAATTCTCACAGCTAGTTATGACTGTTGACATCATTTTGCACAAAAGCAAAATAAGTGAACTCTTTGAACATTCATAGCAGGTTTACAATGAGAATATTCTACAGTGCAAAGACTATCAGCTTCAGTTGAATAGTAACTTGTTACTTTCAATCACCCTAATCACTATTTCAATCCTTCAGCAACATTGAGGAGTAGAGATCAGATTAAATAACTGAACAAAAATCACATACATACTGCACATTTAGTCTGTATACCATAAAATTGTGTTTTGTTATATAATCTCAATATTTTGATAAAAATGTTGACATGTTATTTTTACAGTCTCATCGTGAAGAATACAGAACATATTATGTACCAATGAGATTACGCAGTTCTAAACAAACAGAACAATGTTTATATTCTAAGAATATACATAATGTTACTTTTTATCTTGATTTTAATGGTTTTTTACCTGGTAGGTTAAATAATATGTTAAAAACTTACCATGAAAATTTCATATATTTTAAAGGAAATGAATAGAGTATATAAAATTGTCAGACAAAAAATTCCTTGTTAATTGATTAACGATCAAGTTTTCCTTCTACTGCCTTCCTTCTAAAGGTGCCAAATATTTGTGATAAAGAATATTATAATTATGTTGTCTGAAATAGAGAAGTTCACTTACCAGAGAGTGCTTACACATGTACTATACACCTGTCTTTGTCCCTTTTTCCTTTCATCTTGAATGACCTTAGTCTCATTTCAAGTTTAATTTACATGCTGGCCTCCTTTTTTGGCTTGTGAACTTGGATCCATGATTTGCTGTTTTAACCTTATTGGATAAGTGCAGGCTTGGATTTATATTTTCAAATTTAACATCATATTCACCTCTCTTGTATATGAATAATTATTTTACAGATGGATTATTTTATCGTATATTAACAAGAGCTACTAGATGGAGTCAAGATAATGGTGGACGAGACCCATATTTATTTAAACATTCTGCCAGATTTTATGTTGACTCTGAACATGATTTTGTATTAGAAATGTCACCTAAAGAACATAATATTAAGGTATATTTTGTAAATCTATCAATAAAATAGCTTTGCTATAGCAAATGCTTTACTTTAAATGAAATGTACTTGCAAGAGCCTAATATGGAGATACCCTTGTACAGAAAAAAACTGACACAGGCCGTGCCGTCCATCAAAGGGATTGTAAAGACGTTTTTTTAAACCTTTCTTATATTGAGTCAATTCCACTATCACTAAGATTTTTATGACGTAGTTATATGTTGTCACAATATAAATGAGCAGTTTTAATGTATTGAATTTCTCCTCTATAAGTTGTAAATCTTAATAACCCCCATGTTCAAAGTGATTTGTAGTTGATGTGACAATCTATCGAAATAAAGTGATTGGTCATACGTTATTATGGAGCACTGATTAAAAAAGATGTTTTCTGACTATTATTTCTAGGTTATTGTTATTAGAGAAGTTGATTTATCCAATGAATTAACCACTACTACCCTTTCAATGCCATCAGTCTGTGCTAAGGTGAGATCTTAATACATTGCTTTGTTTGCCATTGATGTGTTGAGAAAGTACCAAAAGGGTTCAAATTTGCTTTTCAATATTTCAGTGAATTTTTTTTAAATATCTGTAATTGCAGCTTATATAATTCAATTTAGCTATCTGTATCACTTTTAAGCATGACATTGTGTTCTAGGTTCCTATATAATTTGTCAAAAATGATACCATGGTCAAATATGTTACAAATCTAAAGGAACTCTGTACTCTTGCAGCAGTTATGTTAACCTTTGATTGATTGAAGGCCATGTCTGATTTTCATTCTGACAAATGCCACGGTTGGCTATAAAACTAAAATACATGAAATAAGAATTTAAAAGGACATACTAGATCTTTTTTGTCTTTAGTAATATTATGGATAACTATTTGTAATTTTTCAGGTTCGAAACTTTCTGGAATCAACCCTGTGTGATTTACGTGCTATGTGGATGAAAAGAATCGCCTACAAAACTTGTGTTGTTTGTCCATGTGAGAAGAAATGTCTGATACATGATCAGTTATATTGTCCTCATCATACCTGCCAACATTTCCTAGATTTAGATGAATGTCTCACCAATAAGGTCAGTTTTGTTCCATCAAAAATATTGAATTATTTTTATACCTCAACATCTTTCTATGTGGGCTCTATTTTGGCTCTCACAGACGTCCTAAGTGTCACATAACAAATAAAATGGCAACTTCCATTGATGCAATGTGGAGTGCAGAAAAGGAACAAGAAATAATTACATTTTGGGAGTCAAAGTCCAACTTGTACAAAATAAGCAACTGCCACTCTTCGCTACTTTCTTTATCGAGTGACTAAGTGCTGTGTGCATTTGCAAGCAAGTTATCAACACTGACATTCACCAAGTGTGTCCACTGTATCAGACGGAAAATAGTTCGCCTGAAGTACCGGCAAATATACTTCACCAAGTCCTTAGCTTTAGACTATAAGTATCATTACAATTGTTGTTATATATATGTTCAGATTAACATAATCTATTCAAAATATCAAGAAAAGTAAGTAGATTTAAGGTAAGTGGAGTTTCTGTTAACTGTAAGGACAATAAGTCAAATTATTCATTTCATTTTCTAGATTGTTTGTTGTGATCATCGAAGAATAAAAACTGAACAATATCAAAAATGGTTTCCATCATCAACTCACAGTGAATTTAAAGCTCCTATATTATCTGTTAAATCATTGGAAGATGTTGGAACCAATATTGAAAGAAATGCTCCTGATTTGCCTAAATGGTTAAAAGGTGCTGCTAAATTACTGAATGGAGGTGCTGAAAATCAAGACTGGATGGCGTTATCCAGAACTATGGGTAAGTTACATTTCACTGTCTTTTACAGGTATATGTATTAATATTTCAGCAATGAATGATATACACTTACCTTACAGTAACGTTAAAATGAATGTACATTCTGAAAATTGAATAGAAATATGAAATGATGTCTACAGAAAAGGTGGTTACCTTAGGCCCAAGACCCCTCGCCCAAAATTTTTGCCTCATTGAAAAATGACCCTTAAATTTTTGAAATATTTTCTTCAGGTTATAAATCATTAAAGATTGACAAGTTTAATGATGATTTGAATCCAGCCTTAGCTTTACTCAGTGATTGGATAGTGACTAGTGGTAATACAGCCCTATCAATTGATATGTTATTATTATATTTACATCAATTACAACGATTTGACATTGTCGAAGTTATTAATAGTGCTAAAGGTAAGATAAATCTATGGTTTATAAAGCAATCAGCTTTTAAGTTAATTTTTGTTGAGTTTTGTTAACTCGCTTCTAGATTTGAATTTTTTAAACAATTGCATTGTAACAATTATACAATGCCAGCATTGGACCAATAACCTAAAGTCATATCTATTTTTTTATAAATATTGCTTCCATTTTTGATACAGACAAATTGTTTGCAATTTAAATGCTGACAGAAACTGAGAATCTTAGACCACCTGCATTCTAGCTGTTTAATGGAATTCTATACCTTCAGATATTAAAGAAAGTTGTGAAGTATTTTTGAGTTATCAATGGGATAATCAAGATGAGGTTCAGAAGTTAAGAGATTATTTAGAAAGATCAGGGTATTCATGTTGGATGGATATTGGACAAATGGGTGGTGGCGATTTTCTAAATGCTAAAATTGATGAAGGCATTAGAAATGCCAAGGTACAGTGGTCAATTTTATACATATATCGCTATGCAATCTTCAAACTACTGACCTATATAATTCAGCCTGCGTCCCCAAGAACACTTCTTCAGTATTCTGAACTCGTCTCGAAGTGTGGACATGTAGGCTTAATCATATAGGTCAGTTGTCTGAAGATCTCATAATATGAAACTCTGAGTAACAACAAAATTTAGGTTCTGTATTAATATTTCTTTATCGTTCCACAATTGATGTATAAAGTACTATTTTAACAGTGAAAATATTATATTATTGTATTAAAATTTAATAATGTGTTTGGGAAAAGGTCCAGTTTTATTATTTGATATGAAAGTAAATCAGAAGCTAAAAATAATTTCCATTATGAGTTTTTTATTTTCTGTTTAGGTGGTTATAGCATGTTTAACTCCAAAGTATATAGTATCACATCTTTGTAACAGAGAACTGAGTTTAGCTGATGTTTTACAGAAGCCTATTATTCCAGTATTATTTGATCCTGTTATCTGGCCACCTCCAGGAGGACTGGCTGTTATTCTCTCACAACTTGTTTATATTGATTTAAAAGGTAGGATATCACCTGTTTTTGCGAGATGCATAGACAGCACACAAACCATTGACCTAGCCCATGCCTATATCTGTTAGCCTAAAAATTGACAATGAAATGAAGTAAAACCTTAAGCAATCTCAGAATTGACTCTGAACATTACTCTTAGTGAAAAGTGCATATCTACAGGGTTCAAAACATTTAGAGATTAAATCAATATGTGAATATATTATATAGGTGTTGGTGGTCATGGTGGAACTGGTATCCATGGTGATATAGATGATAAATACAGGGAGATAATTCAGCATGTTTCACTTTATGCTTCACCTACAATTAAAACACCATTTAAAGAATCTCTGGTAGTAAGTGATGAAACTGTGATTGAAAAACATGATGAGAGTCAATCATTATCCCATAGTTCTAGTTTAAGTTCATTCTCTGATCATGATGTGTTACACAGTACATTTTCTGATGTTGGTGTTTCTCGACCGCAGTTGACAGTGACTCCAAATCGTGTCAGGAGTCAACGTTCATCAGTAGTACCAACTGCCAGTACTGCACAAGTGACAAAGTGTGCTGTGTGTGTTCTGCTTTAAAGTAATAAGTTTATATGTGTGTCTAAAGCGTTGTTTGAGTTTTAGTCAACAACATAAGTTGTGACATTGCTTCAGTGCTGTTCATATGTGTCAGATGACATCTTTGTGACTGAAACTGTGTAACTGAATAATTCCATCCATAACTGATATTGACTGTGATATTATACATATATTATATGCTTTTAGTGTACTGTAAGTGAATAGCTTATGACATGCTGTGAAATCATTGTAATTCAAATGGAGATTAATTTTCAGAGTGGGACAACATATGAATATGAATATAGTTATGCCACTGCTTGAATTGAGTCTATAAACCAAAAGTCTTAAGATATCTTTTGATGTTTGTCGAAATATGTTGTCGCTTAACTATGCTAGCAAAGACACGTGAAATTTGGTGCCAAAAAATTAATATAATTTCTCAGTATCAGATCGGATATTTATGATATTAATAGGGCATTATCTATACTAACATAGTATTTCATTATGATATTAGAAATCTTTAATTTGGATAGCCTCAGGATACAGCAGTATTATTAATACTATATTATATTGTCATCTTACTTATTTACATATGAATTAAATGAGGCTTAATCTTAAAAAAGAATAGAAAAAAGTAACAGGGTAAGAAAGGTACAAATCTTTAGTCTTGAGTAAAAACTGGTTAAAAAGGGCCAAGTATTAAAATCTACATATGTATTACTTACTATTTCCTTTAGTCTTGAAACTCAAAGTTCTAATTGAATATGTATTTTTTTTTTCATGAGAAAACTGTTTATTAAAAAGTAAAAAATGATGATGGCTTGATTTTAGTTTTGAGGATACAACACAAACCTTTTGAATGAAATTATTTCATATTTCACTCGAAACAGGATTGAGGGAGGGAAAAATTAAGAATGGATAGCATGAGTATTTTTAAGAATGCTAGTATTAGTCATCTAGCAGATCAAGAAAAGGCCATTCCAGTTATTTTCTGCTTCAGGATTTTTGAGAAAATATAAAAATTTGAACAAAAAAGTTTATATTATCAAGCATTTTCAGGAAAAAAAAATGTTGGTTCTATTTACTAGGATTCAATTCTAGGTTAATTTGATCTCAGATTATAGCACAATGCCCTTGTATGAATTTAAATTTACAACCAACTTATTAAATAGAATACATAAAAAATGTATGTCTAATTAAAGATAATTTTTTTATGTAGATAGAGAGGTGGCAGATATATTTTTTATTTATTTTTAAAAAATCTTTCTAAATGTTACATACAGGATTGACAGAAATTAGAACATATTTTAGGTTTCTTTAAATTATATTTTTGAAAAGGCAAAAACTGAACATCAGCAGGAATTGGTATCCTTGTGTTTTATCTCACACTTAATTTAACAATAACATGGCTATTGATAGAGTATGGGAGGCCAACTATAATTCTCTTATTTTTGAAACAATTTTACTTTATTGACAAATAAAGAATTTTATCTGTAATATTTGTAATGACATATTTTCTTAAATAAATTAGTAAAATTCATCTTTGTGCATTGTTTATATAGTACATTGCCATGCCTACATGTAATATGTACCATGAATATTCTCAATCTACAGTAAATAAGTTTTGGCAGGTGAATTTGATGAGCATTGATACTTGCTGATATAGTAGTAATAATAAGTATGTCAGATTTTAACCGTTACTTAGGGTTGTATGTTCTCCATGAGTCGCATTCTTGGACTGTTGTGTTGTGTGTTTTCTGCAGGAAACTACATTTGTCATCCCCGATCTAACAAGATTTTCCTTAAATTGTGATATGTTGAATTATGGTGAATTAGACCCAATAGCATCAAAATTTGTAAGGTGTGCTAACCAATCAAAAACACTTGTAAAAATGGTCAGACAAAAGGTTATAGATTATGAAAATCATTTTTTGAACAGAGCAATTGGTTAAATATGAAATAGCCCAGAACATGAGATGCATAACAATTTCATCAGATCATGGATGACAAGTGTATTCACCTTCAGATAAAAAACAGGAAAAGAAACATTCAGATTTGCATTTTAATCAGATATAGAGGAGTAATACGAGTATGTAGAACTTGGTCCTTAATAATTAGATATTAAGACAAATGGAAATCCATTGCTTATGCCTACAGACACTTTCTCTTACTTATATTTAAATAAACTTGCCATGAGTGAAAATATAAAACAATATTTATGAAGTTTTGAAAAAAGTCAAGTTAAAGATTACTTAAGGCTTTTGCACTTTCAGTTGTAATACATGTAAATATAAAGATTGTTCAATACGAGTTCAATATAATATAGAATCGATATAGATCTCCTCTTTTGTAGGTAATATTCCAATATTCAATATTCGACCAGATATTATCTTCTTGCATAAATAATATAAAATACATTTTAAGACACTCACATAATTTTGCAAAATGTCCGTTATAAGACGTGTTTTTCTTCTCTTACCAACACTTTTTATTTCTGGTTATCAATTTTCTATAATTTCGGAAAAATTTGTGTCCAAACTAGCTTGCAAGGATCAGATTTTGCACGATTTTGAAAGATATTCCACTTTCTCTGTCCAGGGAAATTTAAACTGTGCTACTCGTTGCTCTGAAGATGAGAATTGCATTTCATATAATTATCTAAAAGTCACCAAACAGTGCCATTTAAATAAAGGAATTATTGTAGATACTTGTAGGAATTCTCAATTTCATCCGAATTCTATTTATTTGCAGAAAACCGAATATGTAAGTTATTTATCCATATGTATATGTATATCAAGGTTGGATTTTTTCGTTTACAGAAAGTGAAAAGTTCTGAAAAAATCCAATTTGAAAAAAGAGTAGGCCCTAGATATGCTGCGTAGGTCTAATATAATTTTAATTTTTAATTTGTATCATCTGTTTTCATTCAGACATGTTTACATGATGGAACGTGGAATTCAAGTACATCAACTTGTTCCTGTGTTGGTGGTTATATTGGAGGACATTGTGAACGGTTGATGACAGGTCAGATTCAAACTTTATATAATATCACATTTTGAAAAATGTGATTCCCTTTCAGAGATATTGAAATGTAGGCAAATATCCGTCAGACATTAGTTCTTAATCTTCAATATCATGTTATTCAAAATATTTCAAAATTAAAAAATGAAATTCGTAATAAAAAACTACATCAACTCCAAATTGAAATATATAATTTCCATAAATTTTAATGTTTTACTCAAAACTGCAATATGGCATTTTCATTGTTGATTTTATTTCAGCTGAAAGAGCATTTTTATTGTTGATTTTCACTGAAACTGAAATATGATTTTCAACGTTTTGTATTTTCCATTGTTGACTTTCTTTTAAATATAACGTTTCTGTTGACTTTCCCACAGAAATTGTGAGTGACTAGACCAAAATACTCATCATAGTTTCAGTTTATTATACATCTATGTTGGAAAATAACGTTCGCTAATCTAATTTATAAATTTGACAGTCGCAGTATGTTGTTCTTATTCCAGATTGTGGAGATGGACTATCCCATTATTCTGGTATACGAGGATTTTTCTATATTTTCCCACAAAAGTCTCCAGAACCATTCGAAATACGATGTACAATGATGTGGGGTGGCAGAAACATACTAATGCAACATTACGATCCGACAAAATATTTTAACCGATCATGGCAGGAATACAAAGACGGGTTCAGTGATGAATTGAAAGAGAATTTCTGGTTGGGTTTGGACAAGGTCCACTATCTTACAGAGTCCAGTAGAAAGAAGGTTTATATTGAACTTACTGATCCTACGCAATCGCATGTAAGAAATCGATATGATGATTTCAAAATTGGCAATGAAACAACAGGATACAGGTTGATAAGCCTTGGCAGTATCACTACCAACGAATTGCCCGAATGTTTAACAGATATGGTCGGCTCGAAATTCTCAACGTTTGATAATGACCAAGATCAAAACAGTCAGAATTGTGCCGCGGTTTATGGAGCTGGGTTTTGGTATCAATCGACACAATGCAGTACCTGTAACTTGTTTGGTCAATTCAATTATCCATCAGGCGGTACCTGGAACTTAGATAAATCTTACGTTCATTGGACAGGGAAAAGTTGGAGTCCTCCGGGAGTAAAATTTTGGATACAGAACTATTATTGATTTTATGATCGATCTGGAAATTTATTACTTTAAAATGTGTCAATCATTACGCATTCAACTGAGTATCAATTGATTAAGTTGATAAAATATTCATTAAGCCTTATGGATGTTGGATAAATCTATAAAGTGTGTTATATTTACATCATTATTTATGTATTACAAATCTACAAATAAAACAATGTTAACTGTTCTTGAATATTTCATCCCATATAGAGAAGGTGGCTAGTAACAGATATCTGAATATCGCTTGTCCAGTGTGACAACGCCCACTGAAAATGAACTTGTGACGAAAACCACCCGATAATTTTCTCTTTGAGAGAGCTAATTTTACAGGATCGGGTGCGAAAACACAAGAAGAAATCCCTTAAAATTATCAACTCTGAAACAGCGTTCCCATGGCACGCGTTTGTCCGTTATACACAGGTATATGGGTTTGGTAGGGGCGTCCATCGCAGTGGTAGTCTCCTGAGACTTGGGGTACAAATATAGGGAGTAGAATGACCTAATGGGGAGGGCAAGGTTAATATTCAAAATTCGGCAGCGCTGTGGAAGTTGCACAAGCTCTCTTGAAGCGTCTATGTGGATTCCCCAAGGAATATTTTGAAAATAGAATGGATTTGGTGCATTCCGACTCAAACGTTGGCCTATAAAAAATTATAATTTTGGAAATCCAATGAGAACGCATGATGAGGATGGATTTTGGTGATGTAGAGGGATCTCGGGTAGATCAAGCGACTGGAAAAATCTTGCAGCTATAATAGTCCTGTACGATTTTCTATGGTCCTGGTATTGGTTACTTAAATCTGGTCAATCACTACAATTCGCCAACGACGATTGATAAGTCGTGGTTGTCGTCAGTTGAATCTGACATCGAAGAACCTTAAGAATCGCTTTAAATCGCCTTTGACGTGAGCCGTACATGCATGATAATTGACTTATCGGTAAATCAACTCAGGTACTAGTATTATCAAGACCTTCCAAGAACTAAATAAGCAGTGCTTTGCACGATAGCGGTTTTCTGTAATCGTAAGAGTAGGCCTAGTAAGAGAGTAGGATTCATTGATAGCCTAATTCTAGATTCAATTAGGAGTTGGTAGGGGAGAAGTATGGGAGACAATCCATCCATGATTAATTCCAAGTTTCTCTCGCTCTTTGTTTTACATGGAAAGTAAATCAATACTTCCTGACCATGAATTTGCGGCCGACAAACAGCGTGGAAGTTGAGTCAACCTAACTTCCTGACTCATTGTTGACAATTGTCAATTAGTTTGCATGGTTGTATGCATAGCATTGCAAATTTTGAAATACAAGACCACGATTATCACTTTCGTGCAATTCTTTTCTTGCTTAAAAAACTGCGTTCATCGAGCAAAATCTCGGTGCACTTTCACCGTTTTCTCTCTTAACGCACCACGCGACTCAATATTTCATATTTTTTGTAAGAAGAGATTTGATTGGTTGCTTCTGGCAATTGTGTATAAATCAGCGAATCAAATTAGTGATAAGAAGAAGTAGTTAAATGTCTGATTGACAAGTAGTTGATATTAGCCGGCAGCTCCTCGACTTGAAAATCTACACTGAACTGAGATGGCGAACGAAGGATTTACTGTCCCAAGTCAATTTGGAGATGGATCCAATACTCCTAAAGCCGCAGTACTGATTATTATTGGAGAACCGTCATCCGAAGAACACAGGGATTTGATTTTGGCTGAATTAACGAAAGGTAGGCGCCCTTTTTTCCTGTATAAAACATAGACAAATTTTACAGACAACAATCATATCTTGCCTTTATTCTATACTGTCTGTAGCTTTATTGGCTTCCTTCAAAATGGAAGCAGTATTTGTTATCAAAATAGAAATCAAGACAATGGAGTAAACTGTGCCAGGAATTTCAGATTGGCTCTTTCAGTAGATTGCAGCTGGAGGGAATAAATAACAGGAATATGAAATATATTTCCCCAGAATATCTGTTAGATTGATGTCATGACTAAAAATATTTTTTACAAAAATTATTTCCATAATGCAACATAATCTTGTTATTGAAAATTACAGATCTGGGTCCTTTAATTGTACCCTGTTCCACTTAGGGAAATATCAATGTTTTTAAGTATACCATCAGTATATGTTGCACATTGTGTACTTTGTAATTGTTAGGCCTATTAAGCATGCAATATAAAATGGTTGTTACAAATACTATAGAGGGAGTTATGACTAATATTATCAAGAATTTTATACAAATATGAACAAGATAATAACATTTCTATTGAGTTATTATGAAGGTTTTTGGGCAATTTTGACAGATGGTCAATAATAAGTAATATGCTTATGTTACATTGAAAGGCCTTTTAGGCCTGTGTTAATGTTAGTTCAGAATAAGGTGTAGTTTAAAGTGATTAGGACCAGGCCCTACATTCGGATTAAAGATGTTGAGACAGATTGTTCTCAGATGAGGTAGTGTATTTCATTGGGTTTTAGATTTGATGGATTGATTGTGTATGACTCTAAGGATGTAAAATGTTGCATTTTAAATTAGAAGCACCAACCAATTTATACATATATAGTAAAAAATATGTTAAGTTACAGATTTGGCATTTCCTCTATAAAATCAGTTTCTTTTTTGGGAAGATTTAATTAGTAATATTCATGGTACTGATTCAGATAGTATTACTGTCCAATCTTAAACACAATGCTATAACAAAGTGTGTATGAGTCATCTACAGATAGTGATGCATATTCTTTAGAATACAAAATTATAAAAATGAGATAAATTTGTTTAGATTATGAGTTTCTGAGGCTTCTCTTTGCAGTGGCGGAGCCAGGTTTATGTCCGAGGGGGTGGAGAGGGGGAGATAATAATAATAATAAAAAATATTTCTTAAAAACACACTCCATATACATCTCAGTGCTCTTTACACGGTATACAAACAATATGGTAACAAAATACATACATGATAACAATATACAAAGTAATATTATAGCAATATAAGTAAAGATATAAGAGTTTTATTCGCTGTAAGAAATATTGTGGTGCGTGCCAAAGAGGTGCGTCTTAAGTAGTGATTTGAAAGCAGTTAGTGAACGTGCTGTGCGGACAGAATTTGGTGTTTTATTCCACAGCCGGGGTGCACAGTGAAAGAAGGCTTGAGCTCCGTAACTTCTTTGATGTAGCGAGGTTCAATCAGACAAACTTCAGAGCTAGTTGATCGAGTCGTTCTTGTGCAAGTTCGGGTCGTAAGCAGTTCTTTGAGGTAGATTGGTGCATGATCGTGCAGTATTTTGTAGGTTAAAATCAGGATTTTGAATTTGATGCGTTTTGTGACAGGCAGCCAGTGTAATTGAATATGAATAGGAGTGATATGTTCATTCTGAGATTGCCTGAATCTCTAACCTAGTTATGAGATTTTTGCCTGAAAAACTTGCTTTCGGGGTGGCAAGGCCGCTAGCTGCCCCCTCTGCCCTCCCTTTGGTCCTGCCACTGTCTCTTTGGATTTGATATCTAATATTTGAATAAACCTTGGTAACCTCTTTCCAGTTTGTAGTGTGTGCAACAATCTATTAATACTGTTGTTATATATTCAAACAATATTAAAAAGTAATAAATGATTAAATGATATGTTATCAGGACAGTATGAGTCATAGGATAGGAATTGTTTCAATAACTTTATTTCACAGTTGTTTAAATTTACATCATTGTTTTCAATTGTTTGTAACTTGGTTGACTAGTCTTGCTATAATTTGGTCAAAAATTTGGCTGATTTTTTTAAATGACATTTTAAACTGATTGTCAGAGCATTGTATCAGAGTATTGTTTAAACAATGTGATATGTATGTGTAAGCTTACAGTGCATATACTGTGTTTAGTCTTAATCAATTAAATGTGTATGGTTAACAAAATGTCTCATGTCTTCAAGTCTGGAATTTTTCAGGATTCTGGACCTAGTTACTAGTACCTCAATATCTGACATTTTATGTCTATTGTTAATATTACTACCTTTCTTAACACATATGTGCAGGTTTATAGGTTTTCTGGATATGTATTTTCTGATGAATATTTTATTTTTCTTCCAATATATGTTGTGGGGGGAGTGTAGATAGAAAGTTTTAGTTAATGTATTGTTTAATGATAAAGACTGTTTTTATAGGTCACTGACCAGGTCAAGGATACTAAGAACCTCATGTCAATTTTTTTGTCTAAACCAGCTGGGAAGTAAATCTTGATATAAATCTCTGACTGAGTTATCCTATATTTCAGATCATTTAAAAGTTTATCTTTGATTTGAAGGTATCCATTGCAAAGATGTCCTAATTTCTCCATCACACGCTCATGTATAAATTCCCTTATAAGAGATCAGCTGCTTTAAAAGGTGTTTAATAAGTTACAGTCAACTAGTCTTCTTACAGTTTTAACTCTTACTGTACAATCTGGTGCCTTTCACTTTGACATGTAAAATTAATAACTTGATTTATATCCAGAAGATCAACACCTGAGAAACCATTATAATCTGTTGAGTTTACAAATGAAATGAATAAAAACAGTCTTTGTGTGTTTTTATTAGGTTACTACAGCTGAACAGCTGTTTTTGAGCAGCACATTAAAATACTAAGCTCATAAATGGATGCGTAAATCCAATGGTTTTGTTTATTGAGCTGTGGTGTATTAAGAATACTACACTATGTTTTGGAGTCAAACTATGAATGGATGTCCCAACATATGACAGTCGTGTGTCAGAAAATAATTTTGATGACTTTGACAATTTAATGTAGTCTTTATTCTAAATTCGTACCGGTATTACGTTTTTGTGAACTAGTTATTATATAAATTTTGGTATTGTTTAATTGTTGTGGAAATGAAAAAGAAGGAAAAGTTAAAAGATGCTTTTACACATTAGTATATTTGAAAGGTAATAAACACAGCAAATTGGTAGCTTCAAGGTGGTGGTACATTAATTATAAATATTTGAGATAATTAGAATTAATATAAACATTGACATGGACAATATATACTTTATGGATAAATAGAATACATGGTTAATTAATATAGGTGTTCAAATTAAGATAGATACTAACATCTTAAAAGTATTTAATTATAAAAGAAGTATATATAATTGATAAATAAACTAAATAGTTCTTATAAGCTTACACTTTCTATCAAATGTACAGAATAATATGACCATCTGTTACCTTGTCATACATCACTTACTTTTATCATTGACAACCAAATATATTCAAATTTACCACAAACGGAAATGAAATTCAGAATTTCTTGAACTTTATATCAGGGATATAGAAGGCTGTTAAATTTGCAGAACCATTTCTAAAAAAGGCATTAAAAAGTTACTTTGAAATACCCAAATTTCTTGAAAAACACACATTGAAATGATTTAAAAATACCCCAAATTTAATTTCTAAAAACAGATATTAAGCAAATGAAATTCACAAAAAAAGAATTACCCCCTCTCTTGACATAAATATAAAAATCAAATTGTTGGTCTTGTTGTAGATTGGATGTGTCGAGTTAAAAAGGAAATTGAAAGTACTGGAGTAGGTAATTAATAAAAACATGTGAAATATAGATAAAATATATATATTCCTGTGTTATCAGATTATGTAATATGTATCTAGTTTATTTAGTTTATAACTTTGGTATTTTATATATGAGTTCACGTAATGAACTGTATTTTCATAATAGATTCACCTATACCTTTTGATGTTCAGTAGGTTTGGCTTTTATGTACCCCATTGATTGTTAAACCATTACACTTAGAGTGGAGTGACTAACATGCCTGACATTCGGTCAGACCAACCTAGACAATCTCTCTAAACTTAGAGTACAGAGATGATACATCATCCTGATTGACTGCTATAAAGATACATTGTGATTCAATTACAGAGGAACCGGCTGAGTTATTTATTTATTTATTCATTTGGTGTACTATTGACAAAGCTGTAGATTTTCTATATTGGTCAGAGTTTCTGGCTGGAGCTCCCAAATATCTGATTGGATTTGAGAAATAGCTATTTGAATAGAATCTTATTTATAAATAGTGAATAGTATTGTTTGGTAGTAAAAAAAATTTCCACGTTGTCGATAATCACGTGCGGAGCATGCAATTGAAAGAAAAATGAATCTGATTGAATGATAACAGTCTGACTTGCAGATGATAAACTTATCGGAGATAATTATCAAACTTTGATATTATAAAACTTGTCAGCGACATGATCATCTTGTCATGGAAGCACGGAAAAAACGCAACAAAAATCTCCGACCAAGACTGCTCGTGTGCCTGCACCTTAAGTAGACTTAGATATAGTCAAAATTACTGTGAAAGAATTTGCTGAAATTAAACATGCCTACCTGCATAAAGGGAATTATTGGGTTGGAATAAGCCCAATAACAAATCTGTTGTTACAATGAATTGCTACATATGCTTGAGTCTACCTGCAAATGTGCTATGAAAATGATTGTGTATGAATTTGTGGAATGTATGTGATATATAATATAATAATATATTTTTAATTGACATGGTAGGCTGATATATAAAATTTTCAAATTTGGAGCCTGCATCCAGCATGTAGTAAGTGATTGACATTTTGATGTTTTAAAAATTCAATCATTAAAGAAGCATAAAATCAATTATTTTTTGGAATATTACGTGGCCTTACAACTGACGAGACAAATTGAAAGTATCTGGTCTAACATTCCAAAATAATCAATATTGAAGGTGACTAATTGATGCTACAACACAATATATACAGATGTTTCAGATGGTATGCTGAATATTTATTACAATATATTGATGTTGTTATCTGTGTTTCTATTTTATAATAAGTCTGAATTATAGCATTATTCTTAGTGTATAATTTTTCGGATGTTTTTTGAAGTTGTTAGAGGTGCCTTTTGCTGGGAAGCTGGCAATCTGTTTCTGACCTGTCAAAAAAAAAAATGACTGTATTTTGACCCTTACTTTGAAATAATTACTATTTTGGCTCTTATGATGTTAACATCCCTTGGTTTGGATAACTATTAGATGTATATCAGTTCTAAGTCATTGTGCATGTAATAGATAATACATAGTAGAATGTTTAACAAAATGGAACTTTAAGTTCCTTATTGAATCTGTGAGTAAGAAATGTTTATATGTTGATACTTAAACATTTTGTACTTGTATACAACATAGATAAGAAATAATATGAAATATCCACACTACCCCACCCTTAATGAATGAAATGAAGAGTTGTGAAATATAATCTGTAGGATACTGTGGGAAGTAGATAATATATGAAATAACTTCTGACAGCTACAGTATTCTGAGTATTATTTATGAAATATTTACTAGCCTGAAAGATGTTCTTGTTTCTACATACTAACTTTGACTCAGTGCAAACTGAGCTTAGACATTGTATGGTCACAGAGTTTTATGATGACTATTAAAAAGACTGATGTTTCAAATTGTATGTGCTGGCAGTGGGAAATAAAACATTCAATCATTTTGTTGTCAAATTGGTTACATCATTGTTTTGAATCGGCAAATTTTATGGTGTACAATGTAAAGGGTAAAGTAAAGGGCAAATAAAAGTCCCTTGAATATTGAATTATATATATAGCCCATCTAAATACCCTTGAATTCTTTGGTTCCTTTTGACCATATAAGTTTTTGGAATTCAAAGGGTGTAATAATTGCTCTCAGTTGGGTGGTTCATTTTGGTTTCCATTAACGTAGCTTTACTAATTTTGAAGAACTGTAATAATTGCAAAATGCCAAAGATGCACCAAAGTAAAACTATATCCCTGGTTATTGCTCTTGTTGGTCAATTCAGTACCTTCTGGTATGTGTGAAATACTTGTGAAATATTATGATCACAATCTCCTTACTTAAGGTGGGTTTATACAGAACGCGACTCGAACGCGACCGCGAACGCGACTTTTCATCAGTTCAGTCATTCAAATAGAGCGCGACCACGAACGGCTTTCAATGTGGATCGCCTTTTTTGTTGTTAAACAAAGTGTGACAACAGTCAATTAAAAAGTAATTAATTAATGAATTGGTCCAATGTTATTTTCTTTGTTAAGTTCCATACCATTGATGAAACAGGCAAAATAAATTGAATTTTTTTTAATCACACACCTGTCAGTCCAACCTTCTCTCAGATTCCCTTCCAAATATCTTTCTTTTTTACTTCCGTTTTATCCATTGTTTGTACCCTACAAGCAAATTGGAAAAGCCATGTGCACAAGTTTCTATTTTAGGAAATGATGCAAGGGAGGTGGTACAAGCTGATTGGTTGATAGCAAGAAATCTGCCGCGACTTTCTGAAAAATTCGCTCTTGGGGCAATCTCGGCGGTCGACCGTGCGAACAAATATTTGTTCGCGTTCGCATTCTATTTGAACGGTCCCTCTATAAAATGATGAAACCATTCCATGACGAAAAACCGTGTTCGCGTTCGCGCTCTGTATAAATGCACCTTTATGTTGTGCTTAATTTTGAATTCCTTGATAGAAATAATTATATTATAGAAGGTTAATTTCTTGACATCTGGAGCTTCTATACAGATTGTTTACTGGAGAGAAAGTACAGTAACAAGAAATTATACCAATTATTAAGTTTGATGTATATGCAAGTTAATGAATTTAAGTAAATTTATCTTTGTATTAGAAACGACTGATTGAAATATTGTTCAATGTGATATGATTTATATATACAGAGATAAATCCTGATACAAAGTGGTAAAATTGTTTTTTTTTTTTATGTTAACAAGTTTCTATTGATAAATATAAGACTATACAAATACAACAGAATTATAATCGTACAAGAATATTGTTTGGCTGAAATTTAGTATCCTGTTGATTAGTTTGTACTTAGTAACTGTGATTAACTATTAACAGCAGAAGGTATAATATAAACCAGATCCCTGATGCCATGTCAATCTACATGCCAATCACAAAGTAAAAGTAGAAAGAGAAATGAATTGAAAGTAGAGCTGTTGTAATTTGATCTCAAGGTAAAATGATGGGGTTCGTTAATAAAATAAAACATGGTTCTACCTTTAACCATCTGGCAAGATTTCTACAAAACAGTTTTTTAAACTTTTTATTGATAGTTGAACATACATCATAGGCCATGCCTACAATTCATATTGAATTAATATATTGTTGTGTAAATCTACACTGAATTTTGACCTATAATGTGATTAATTGTACATTTATATGTTGTAAGTTGACAGTCTTGATGTCAGTTTGACACAATATTAAGTGCATTATATATATTGAACATTAAGACATTTTTACTGATTTCATATGAGGACGTAATAAATAGGAAGGGACATGATATCATGTTCTTGGCCTTTAACAAGAAAATATTTTTTTTTCTTTTAAATGGTCATTTTAAGTAATATAATATTTTCAAATAATCTTCTAATTTTTGTTCTGCTAAGATTTCATTTAGCCTTCAAGTGTCAACATCCAATGTATCATATGTTGTTGTGTTTTCTGCTGATTTATCATTGTTCATATGAACTTCATCTTTTATTTTCCCATAATAAATATATCATTTCTCTTGATTAATAGATACTTCCAAATTAAAAGGTTTCATCATTTAATGGTTGGATGCAATTACAATGTAAGTAGCAAAAATGAAATTCTGTAATCTGATCATTTTTATCTTGATTCAAAAAAGAAATATCTCTTATTATAGCTGTATCAATTATTCATGTAAGACATTATCTGCTTGCTGAAGCAAATAATTTAACTAAATTATTATTTATTCTAAGCTTTGCCTGAGGCCCAAATTTCTCCCTCATGACATTATTTAGTTAGACACAGTTTAAAAGGTTGAAATCTCTGCTTCATTAGCTGTGTTGTGAAAATTAGCTTGAGACAGTTCATCTAAAAGTAGAATTACTCCTAGTAGCTTCTTATCCTCAAATTAGGCATAAAGAAGCCATACTTACATCTTTAAAGGGACAGAAGCAAGATTTTCTGGACTAAATCATACCTTGTCTCAGAAACGTGAATTGTTCAAATTTAAGTGTATCCACAATTATCTGTAGGTTTTCTATTCTTGGTATGTGTACCTTTTTATCTCAGAAATATGACCAAACTATGGTAAATACTGTGTTGTGAATAACTGGTCTAGTTTTCCAATAATCACCACGGAACAAGTAAAAGCTCTAAATGTCTATATTGACATAAAAAGGCTAGAACCAGTTTCCCTGGGTAGATTTGTTTTCCTTCTAACCTTTCAAGACTATGGTTGTACAGGGATGATACAAGGATTGCCATTCTATGTAAGAAATACATAGCACAAGATCTATTTACTACCAAAACAATAACACAGTTAACTTGTGTTTGTTCTATTTCTTTATTTCTATATATTGAATAATGTTAACACCAAACAGTTTCATTTCTGTACATTGTTATACCGACCAAGATTGCCAGTGGACATCCCTATGAATTCAAAATGATCTTAGCAGCTATTGAGGCATACCGATGAATTGAGGCTGATGCTGTTTCTTAAGCTTGCTCCTTCTATTGACATAACTAAAAGGGTAATTATTTTACAATGTTAGGAAGAATTGAGAAACCTGAACATATTCTAAAACTTTAAAAAACTAAAGATAAACTTGAACAAAACACTTATGCACTTTGTGAATTTACGTGCAAATACATGTAGTAGACTGGCCCAGACTAATGTAATGAGTCATATTTGAAGTTTAACTCAAATAGTAATAAAGTTATGTATTCAATGCAGAGGTCATAAAAGAGTGTTAGAAATATAAGTTTTGTCAAACATTTGTTTTCTTTCATATTAATATAAGTTATAACATGTTTCACATATTATTGATATACTTAGTAAACATAATTCTATTTACTTTAGACCTTTTTTTTGTTGAAGATTTATATATTAATAATGAATTAAAATTCATACTCTGCTGTATAATGAGCTCTTATAATGAATAGATCTTCTCAACTTTTGCTGCCAATAGTTTTTTAGATAAAAATGAATTATTCAATGG